TCGCGGGGGTGGTCGAGGTGTTCGGAGTTGTTGGAGTCATCCGAAGAGGGCGGGTCACGTAGGTGGTCGATATGATATGCAGAAAGGAGGGGGTGCACATAGTTTGCCGGTTGTGGAGTCAATGGGAGAAGTGGGGGGTCCGGGTGAGTGGCAGCGACCATGGGGATGGAGTACGTGGACCAGAGCAGGAAGCTCAGTATCCACTATAATACAGACCAGGGGCGGTGCCGGGGTGTCGGTGGTCTGACCCGACACCCCGGGGTTAGTTTGACCCCATGGTGTCGTTGGGGTCCGTCCCCATGGAGTCATCGGGTCCGGTTGGCTGGTTCAGTTGAACGGAATCATCTGGTGCTGGGGGAGAGGACGTCAGCGTAGGCTGGGTGGGGTACGCGGCTGGTGGTCCGGTCGCAGGGGTGCCTAGGGCGGCGAGGCCAGCAAGTTGGGAGGATACACTTTGCATGGCTTGCATTAGGGTGCGTAGACTGGATTCGATGATGGGGAGGCGTTCGGCCATTGCCGCTTGGTGGGTGCCCTGTTGTGTGATGGTGGTTTGCAGGCGATTTTGCGCCTCCGTCAATGTGCGCTGGTCCTGGGATTGTTGGTGTTCAGCAGCCTCACGGAGGCGGCGTTCTTCGAGTAGTCGCGCATCGAGGGTGGTGAAGGCTGCACTGGTGGCAGAGACTAAGGCTGTGAGTGCCTCCTTATCCGCGCGGAGGGTATCGACTTCCTGCTGGAGTGGGGCTGTGGCCTGGACGATACGGTGGTCCACATATGTGGAGAGTTCCCGACGGAGGTGTGGGACGAGGTCCGTGGTCGGGCCTGACGCGTGCAACGGTTGTTGAGAGGGGTATTGCCAGGATTGGGGTGTGTGGCTGACCGTGGTGGAATGTTGAGAGACCGAGCGGCCTGCTGGAGTGTGCACACTCTTACTGCGGGAACGTGCTCCCGGACTATTGGTGCCACGGGGAGTGGATTTATGTCGAGATGCGCTGCGTGTACGGTCGCGGGGGTCAAGGTATGTAAAGCGGGCGCAAGGTTTGCCCTGGTGATCCTGGCGGCCACAGTCGGAGCATTGCATTGCCACCGCTGTGGTACGTGGGCGGCCCATGAGTACG